CAAATTTTAGCTAATATTTTTGTTTTTTCCTTATTGATTTTTAATCCTGCTACTGCCCCATATTTCTCCAATTCTTGTAATAAATTTAACCCTGTCTCCATTGGTTTTTCAACAAAAAAACACCAGGTCGTCTGCAAATGCCTGTACCTTATATTCTTCTCTTTTAATTCTCAATCAACCTATTTCCGTATTTTGTCTAATCTGGGTTAATAGCACTTCCAGAGTCGAGATGAAAAGTAGAGGCAACATTGGACATCCCTGCTGTACACCCTTCCTTATTTTAAAACTTTCCATAGTCTCCCCATTTATAATCACCCTAGCTTTTTGGTTTGAGCATACTGTACTTATTATTTTTCTAAATTTGGTTCCAAATCCTATATTCTCTACCTGTTGAATTAAGAACTGCCAACTGACATTATTGAATGCTTTCTGAGCATCCAAGAAGATCAATGCTGCCTGCTTTTCTGGGTGGGCCTCATAGTATTCTAATACATTAAGCACTATTCTCATGTTATTTCTTATCTGTCTGGAAGGTAGAAAACCATTCTGGTCTGGATGTATAAGGTTATTTAGTACTACTTTCAACCTTTCAGACATTATTGTTGTGAATATCTTGTAGTCTACATTCAATAACAAAATTGGCCTATAATTTTTAATTTGGTTGTGGTCCATATCTTCTTTGGGGATTAATGAAATATATGCTTCTGTCCATGATTCGGATAGCTTGGCATGCTCCAATACACCATTATACAGATCTAACATCACTGGTTCAAAACGCTCATACAGACTTTTATAAATTTCTACCAGGAGACCATCCGGTCCTGGAGTCTTATTATTTTTCTGTTTTTTAACTGCCATATCTAATTCTATGGGTGTTATTTCTTTATTTAGTATGTCTTCTGTTCTTCTCTTATTTCTGGTAGACCTTTCTCTTTCAGATATTGTTCTATATTATCTTTGTTCATGTTATCCTCTTTATATAATTGTTCAAAATATTTTTGCACTATTTTTTTCTTCTCTGCCATTCAATATTGTAGTTTTCCGTTTTCATCTCCCAACTCCCGTTTCAGCCTTTTCTCCTTTTCTATTTTTAACTTATGGGCTAACCACCTCCCAGGCTTATTGGCATGCTCAAAAAAGTTCTGCTTTGCTCTTTTTACCTCCTTTACTCTCTCTTCCTGATTCATAATATTTAACTTATGCTTAACTAGAGTCATCTCCCTTCTCACTTTCTCATCTTGTGGTGCTTTTTGTAGTCTGCTTTCTAACTCTTTAATCTCCTGTACCCTGTTTTGTTTTCCCCACCTTTCTTTCTTTCTTTTAGCCATGCAGGCTATTGTTATTCCCCTCAAGTACGCTTTTGCTGTGTCCCATAATATCTGTACTGATGTTTGTTGGACTGTATTCTCCTTAAAAAATAACTCCATTTCTGATTTAATTTTGACACATATTCTTTTTTTTTATGATCTGGGAGTTTAATTTTTTCAGTCCTCAATTTTTTCATTCCCTTCCAAATTATTTTTAATGGATTGTGGTCTGCCCATACATTTTTCATAATCTCTATTGATTCTAATTCATTTCTTAGTTCTACGTTCATCCACGCCATATCTAATTGCGACCACGACTTATGTGGATTAGAGTAGAAAGTATATTTTTTCCCCCAAATTTAGCCTCCTCCATTGGTCCACCAAATTTAATTCCTGTAACATCTCAAAGAAGGATGTTGGCAGGATTTTCATTTTCTTTTTATTTTTTGTACTACTAATATAGTCCTTTCTTATGTTTGCCACCACATTAAAATCCCCCACTATAAATATATTTCCTTGTCCAGTTTCTAAAATTGCTATAAAATTGACTTTGGTTTTCATTCAGAGTATAAATTACAACTAATAACATTTGCTTCTGGCATATCTCTAATTCAAGTATCAACACTCTTCCATTGGGGTCTACATATTTTTCTACTGCCTTTATTCCTTCTTTGATATATACAGCTATCCCTCTCTGTTTCTGATCCGCCAGAGCTGTAAATAATCTTCCTAGTTTTAGATATTCTAAGCATTTCCGAAACTGTTCTTTAATATATACTTCTTGCAAACATATTGTTTCTACTTTTTGTTTAGCCCATCTCATTAATATTTGTTTTCTTTTAATGGGTGAGTTCAGTCCATTAATATTTAATGATATTAGCCTGGTTTCCTCTTCCATCATCCTAGTTATGGGTTAGTATCTACCTTCTATTAATTCTCATATCTCTTTGTGGGCGTGTTCTTAGTCTTATTCCTTCCTTCTCTCCTTGCTCAATTTCCTCTTTACTTCCTCCTTCTTGTTCCGTTTCTCCTAGTTTCTGTTGTTGTTCTTCTTGGCTCCCTGTCTCCAGCTCATCCCTGCTGCTACTTTCTTCTTCCTCTCCTACTATTTAATCATACAGGTCCTATGCGTTATCCAAATTGTCTATTTTTAACCTCTTCTCCTGCCATGATACTAACATCCCTTCCAGGATAAGCCACCGAAACACTATATTTCTTTTAATCATTGTGTTGCCAGAAATTTATAATCTCTTGTCTGCATGCGTACTTTCTTCGGGATCTGTTTTAAAATTTGTATCTCTTTATCTTTGTATATTAATGGTTTGTCCCTCATTATTTTATATATTATGTCCTGTACTTTCTTCCTAGCATTTTGGATTACTTTTGAAGTTCATAATAAGCCTCAGTCCATTCAAAGCCTTAATCTTCCTTATAGATTCAGGCTGTTTCCTGATATTCTGCTTTTGCTACATGCTTTTTCATTTGTCCTTTTTGTTTCTCAGTTAATCAGAGACCTTTTTTATGCAACTATGCCAATTTCAAAAGGTGACTCCCATTTGTTTTTCTCTTTGGTATTGGTTGAGCTTGGGTCATAATTATCATATTTTTAAGAATTTCCTAATCTTGAATTGTTTTTCCCTTGAAGATTTCACTATTCTGAAAGACTCTGTAGCTTAACTTTTGCATGGCATTTATCATGAACTGGCTTCTTAAAAACAGATGCTACTTTTTCAGATTAAACAATGACAGTAAGATTTCTTTAATGCAGACTGAATGGGCTGAAACACACATTGTAGGTCTCACCCAATGAATCACTAAGATTAAAAAGCTTTTTTCCAGTGTGAGAGAGAAACTGAGAAAAGAAAGTTTGCTTATTCCTTTAAAAAATTGCCAAAATCTATTTTAAAAAGTTGTGTAAACAAACTCACTTCCAACCTCAATATCAGTTAGCCAAAGAAAGTCATTTGCATTTATCAACAGTATTATAAAAAGCGTTTCCCAATGTGTCTCTTTCCAGATGTAGTTGATTTTACTTCCCATCATTTCCACTCAGCGTGTACACAGGTAAGTTTTAGGAGTGTGGCTCAAAGCTCATGATTTAATTGGAGTAACTGCCAGAACCCTGACACACGTAATATTATTTGGGAATGATGGCAGTTGAAATGCAACATGTATGGATGGCACAAAGTTTGGAAAGTTTAAACTGTTTTTATATTTAAAAAATGCTTGAAAGTCCATATTTTTAACTCCAATGAATGAACAGCACATTTCGGTGAATCAATTCTAAATACCCGACATGTGCACACCAATTGTGTTTCTTTCTGCATTGAATCTTCCAATTGCTGGTGGCAATCAATGATTTATTCCGGTTCATTCATCCTTGGCAATTCTGGGCAGTAGAGGGAAGGAATATCATTTGAAACATTTTCATCAATAACTTCCATTGATAACTTCCACTGACTTCAAAGGACCAGGATGGTCTTTATTCCTAAAAAATCAACCAAAATGTATTTTTTTTTATTCTATCGGGAGGACTGTTTTCTCAGGAACCTTCTACTATTTATTTTGTGTATATTCAGCTTTGATTAGATGAAAATTCTATCACAAAGGTGACATTTGGGTATAAAATCATCAATGTTTAGACTAATATATGGAGTTTTGCACTGATCCCAAACCTAATCAAAGGCAGTTGCAACTGAAACTGAAATCTTGCAATTACTTACCATGGAGAAAGTCTGCTAAATAGAACAGAGCATGAATAAATCTGAAGTAAATACATCCTGGATTGCCTTATGAGACAATAATCTCACATATACTTACTTGAGAGCAAATCATATTGAAAATAGTGGAACCTATTTTGAAACAGGAATGTGTGAAATTGGATTTTATATCTTGAGGAAGCAACAGTCAGGACACATTTATTGTATTGATGTAAATGGGATGGAGTTAGATGTAAATCTAGCTGGGCTCAGGCTGGTTTTAGTTTTGCCAGCAGGTGACTAAAAAGTAGTTGCTTTTAATTACTACTGTTATAAAATAGGAAGCAACATGTTTGCTTAAATGTTTTCTATAAAAGGAATAATAAATTTGTATACAATTTGAACAAAGGCATCAGACTAGAAAGCAGAAACCATGAGGTCAAATTGCATCTTAGCCATGAAAGCCAGATAGGTGACCTTGGCCTACTGACTCTCCCTCAGCTCAATCCACAGGGTTGTTTCTGTGGGGAAAAGATATGTTCAGTATGTTCACTGCTTTATACTTATTTGTGAAAATAATACAAATGGAATAAAAATAAAAATAAATTAACAATAAAGAAATAGATGAATAGATATTTATGGGACTGCTCTGAAGACAAGTTTAGCAAGAAGTCGGCTGCAAATCTAATATTTAGAATGTATCAATAGAAGGAGGTCATGTATTTATAAACAATGGAAGTTATGATGTGTATGTAATATGAACAAATGATTCTGACCTTTGAGAGGGAGAATTTTCCTAATGGACTTGTATGTAATGAAGTTTGATCTAGTGCAGAGTAATAGAGCAAGTGCACATTAAATAAAAAGATCAGGTGCAGGACAATGGAAACTGTCATACATTCTTCTCAGAAACTTTTCTGTCAAGCATACTAAAGAAAAGCTACAATATTTTTTTATCAGGAAAAAAATGCCATTAATGCTCACATCATGTATTCAGCTTTCAAAAGGATTTAATAAATTATGATGATTCAGTTATTTCATTGTATAAACTATAAATATATAATAGAGCCCTCATAATTTAAAATAATTTACAGGCTGAGGTAGGGGGTGGGGAGAAAGTGAGTATTGGAGCAATCAATGGTCCATCAGAAGTTTTCAGTTTTTCTACTGATTACGCACACACAGGCAGTGTCAATCCGAATGAAGCGCCAGGATGCCCGATTGCCTTCCATGGTTAATGCCTTGACAAATGTGTGTGTTGTGGTGCAATAAGAATTCCAATGCCTGGAATCAATGCCCCTGCACCCACTCGGTACTGGATTTGGATTTCTGCACTTGGTTTCAAAAAAGTACTGCTTGTAGACATGGTTATTAAGATTTACATCCACCATCACAGTCACCGGTTTGCCTTTGATGTCCGTTGCTTTGGTTTTGTTGGCAACCCAGACACTGATACTGTCACACACAGAATATTCCCCTCGGTTATGCACAGGATGAGTTTCACGTTTGGTCCGGATATTCCTGTTAAGAGCGTCTTCATTGTCGAGGAACTCCACACTTTGCTCATCTCTTGACAACGGTGGGGGCTGAGTGCTGAACAGAACACGAGGTGACTGGAAACGCCTCTTCTGAAAAAGCTTGGGATCCACAATGATGTTGGCTGCTGATCCAAGTTCTTGATCCTCTGCCTTCTTAAGAGCAGGATGGTGCTGATCTGTATTTCGAGATGTTTTCAGACCCTCGTGAGTTTGAGCACAGCTGGTGTCAGAAAGGTCAGATGTTGCAGGGGAGCCCAGAGGGACATTATCTTCAGATTTTGGTGCTGCCCATATGCCAATCAGAAATGCAATAATCAGAGTGTAGCACAGCATGGACATTACGCTATGCACCTAGGAGAGATCAAACCAAGAATGTTACTGTGAGCAAAGGCAACATACAAAAACATCCACTCCAAGATGAGTGGAGAGATATTCTAATACAGCAATGCCAGGGAAAATGTACAGCTAAGACATTTCACTGCCTTATGAAAGGCCCAGCCATGTGGATACCAGATGCTGCTTTTTCTTTCCCACTGCAGAAATGGTCATTCAAACAGCAAGCCTGCTTAATAAAGTGGGGACGTTAGGAAATAATACACTGCCAGAGTCGCTTTATCAATGAAATGGGTTGCAAATAAACAAACAAATGAAATAATACTAGGGTTGATACCTTGTATCAAGCAGTGTTCTGAGTTTATTAATAGGGAGAATCAATACTGATTATAATTTCTATGGAGTAAATTGGAAGTTCTACAGTAAAAACCATGTAAAAGGGAAAAGGAGTTCAAATATATTCTATACTTGCATCTAGATTGCCATGAGCCACATGTTCATAAAAAGAAGCAGAAAGGCCAGCACAAAGATATTGCTAAATTACACACAGTTACCTGAATAGACTGTGGAAGAATAATTTCTTCTAAGCTGCACTTACTTCAATTTCTTAAAAGCTTCTCAATACTAAGATGTAAAATGCTACTTTTGCTACTGGAATAAAAGCAATTATGCAGGTCCTGATGTGATATTAGTTATAGAATTGTCAGTTTCCCCAGACAACTATCAGTACAATAAAATATGGGACAAATCCAACACCCAGTTAAATCTGCTTAGATTCATTGACTTTAGGGGGTTTCAGAGCATTTAATCTCGTGTTGGATTGTGGCCATAGTTTAAATTGAGTAAAAGTTCTGAAAACAGATTCTCTTTCTCTTGCACGGAGTAGACAAAAGCGTAAACCTCTTAGGAGAGAATGATTCAGACTTTGTTTTTTATCTTTAGTTCTGCCATCCCTTCTGAAATCCTTCAAGACAAAGGCCCGTCATTATTGATAGGGCTCTCTGACAAACCATAGATCACCTTGTTCCCTGCAGTTATACTTTGCTAAAGACAATAATTTGTGTCAAATTCAAAGTTCTTTTTTGTTAGAATTCCTCAGATAATTCCTATTTTGAGGCATACCCGCAGATAATGTATAGTTTTAGTAGTAGATTTAATAGATAATCAATACTCTTAATCTTAGGATACTCATCAAGATTGCTATGGTTGCAGATTCTATACAAAATATTTGCTAAAATCACCAGAAAGGAAAATTCCAAGAGGCTACATAACTAAATTTTGAGACATAATATTTCATCTTGCAAAAATACAGACAGCCAGAAGATGGCAACAGCAGGTTTGAGTTTTATTTTGTAACAGCCATCTAATATTTATTTTGATTTATGCAGCTGGCGTACTGTATCCCTATCCAACCTCACCATTCTGACTGTGTTACAAAAGCTGGAGACACAGAGCTAGATGCTTGTTGTGCTGCAAGAGGAAATTAGTTCAAATCTAAACCATTTAAATACGTTACAGCTCAGGGAGGCACCAGAAGCTTTAATTTCTCAGAATCACTAGGAGCACTGGAGCCATGGCAGCAATTCAGAACATGTCAAGTGAGTTTCTTGATGTCAACAGATATGCTAATGAAAAAAGTTTGTGCAACCAACTTTAAAGACAATATAGGCACACCCTGAAGTGGATCTACATCAGTTTTGTTTTCTGTAAGTCATTTGAGTTTCATTACTAAAAAAGAAAGAGATTAAGTATGTCAATAAATGCTATTTGTATTTCTAACAGGGTGGAAGAAGGGGGTGTTATGTTAACAAAGCAACATTTAAAAAAGACCTTTCCAGATTTTAGACTTAAAAATCTTAATCAGAACTTTTGTTTAGAATTAGATTAGCAAGAAATTTAAAAAGAAATAATTAAAAGCCAGGTCACAATGCAAAATATTGCCATTTACCTTTATATTTTCCAGCAGAGCTAGTTTTTGTAAAATACTTACAATGTACAAACTTTAAAAAAGATTGGATAATTTGTTCAGAATCTCAGAAAGATTTAGAATCTCAGAAAGTAATTTTAGAAATATTCACAAAGCCCATATATGCTCAAACAAAAGTGCAAGCTTAGTCAAAGAAGATTTATATAATAGCTGAAACAGTAGTGTTAATATGGAGAAAATAGTGTTGCAGGTGCAAATATCAACTGGTTCAGGAACCATTAAAACAATGATTAGCAAGTTATCTCCACATCTGAGTTGATTCTTCTGGTTGTTCTAAATATTTTGTTGTCTGCCACAGTATAGCAATTTGTATCAACATAAAAAAAAAGTTTTTAATCCCCAAGAAAGATCCAAGAACTTTTATTTCAATTAGTCTCTCCCCAATTTCTCCCCACTATTTTTACATAGTATAACCCAAATCAGTTTCAGCATTAAAGAACTAAAGCTATTAAAAATAATTATTAGTTTGGTAGTAATGCTAAAAATTCAGGGGCACAGATATAACTCATGGATCAGCCTGCCAAACTCTTTTAACATTCTTAGATTTGCTATCAAATTCTAAAAAAACAGTTTCGATTAGAGAAATTTTCACAAAATAAAAACCATAAGAGAAAATAACAAAGAATGGCAAAAAGAGAAAAAAAAAATATAAAAAGAAAAAAGAAGAAAAGGACAAGAAGGATGATAAAGAAGCAGTTTCCAGATTCATTTTTATTGTGTCCTCTTGTTCTAATTTCCTTCCTTCATCATAATTTCCTTCTTTGCATAAGATATCCTTTCTAATATTAAATCACAAGTTCAGTTTTCTCCCTTTTCAACAAAAAGTCTATAAGGGGTTTCCAGTTACTACTCAAGGTGATTATTGATTTTTCTCTAATCAAACAGATTAAATTTGTATTTGCTGCTAATTTTGTCATCTTCACCAACCATTTCTCTGTTAAGACTTGCAACACTGACCATATGTAAAGATAATATTTATTGGCTGTCCATTAATCCCAGCAAGAAAAGTTAAGGTTTCAATTGAATGTTGTTGTTTTTTAAATCCTTTATATTACTCTATGTATTTCAACCCAAAATTTCTAGGTTTTTGTTTTGTTTTTACAAGTCCAGCAGATAAAATGCTTTCCACATCTCCAACATAAATTTGAAAACTCTTCATACATTCTAGACAAATTTTCTGGATTCTTATACCAATGGTACATTCATTTTATGAAAATTTTCTTTTAGATCATAATATAAATTTTAATCTGATCACATATTTTCCCACTATTTCATCAATATATTTTTGTTTAACGTTCTCAGTCCATTTTATTATATACTCTTTCATTTATTCTTCCATTTCAAATTTTAATAAGCATGTACAATTATATGTTCATCATTTGTACACAGTTCAACTTCAAATTTTGTCTCCTGCTGCTTAATTTCAAATGCCCTTAAAATATTTTCTTAACTGTGCATATGAAAACCACTGAAAACTAAATTCCCCTGCAGCTGATTCCTCTTTTGATTTCATTTCATCTTATACTTTCCATGTTCTTGTTCTAACAACTCTTGATAAGCTAATCATTTTTCTTTAGGCATTGTTTTTTATCTAAAATCTTCTATTGCTAAAATTCATAAATATAGATTTGATCCCAGGCTAGGTTTATATTTGTTCCATATTTTCAATATGGCACTTCTAATACATGTAATGACTATTGAAGCCAACATTAATCTTAACGTTATTGTACCATAAAAAACTATGAACCTTAGAACATGCTCTTGCATCCAGATTAAGCAGCAGGCTGCAGCTATCAATCAAATTCTTAAACTCATTTAATAATGTACATATCTATATGTTAATCAAATGACTCTTTTGTTCTAATTATAATTAAATAATATAAATGGGGTCTTCAGAATACAAACCTATCAGTATAATTGATATGTTATGATTAAGTATTTTGAGCAGACAAAAAAGACAAAAGACAAAAAAGTTATTTCATATAGATAAATCTAGAGGAAATCACACTGTATTTTATAAAGAACCATTAGCACTTTGCAACTCAAATGATGTGCTAAGCAAAGATTAAATGCAAACAGATGAAAAACAAAACAAAACAAAGCTTTCCATATTGCTAAAGGCAATGTGCAAAAAATATAACATTATTTTGCTAGTAGCATAGTCTCAAATAACTGACTGGGATTTCAGGGGAATAACAACACATCTTAGTTTACAGTATAACTAATGGCTCTACAATTCTGTAACAGCAATTTTTAAAAGAAAAGAATTTGAATTTTTAACCTGCTTTTTCAAAAGTTTCACTGAATCTATAGAAGCTTATTTAAAAAACAAAACCAAAAAGAACATGTCAAGGATCAATTTTTAAGGTTAGTTATAAACTCCCAGTAAGCTCCTTTAAAAACATAAAAAATCATGTGCATGCCTCCAAACTAAAGGTAGTTAAAGTTAATTAAAAGAAGGAAATAACTGTGCCTCAAGCAGAAACTATAAAATGTCCACTAAGTGTGCTACTTGAATCTTATGAAAGTCTTTGGTGGAATCTGCTACATAAAGGAATTAAACATTTTGAAAACACCCAAATAACAAATTTTTGTCACAATTTATTAACCTGGATATGCATATCCTCTATTTCTCAAAGAATTCAAGATGGTGTATGGGACAGAGATAATTATTGAATTTAAGTCATCTGCTGAATCCCATATCAACTAAGAACTTTAGCCAGAATTTTCCTGGTCTCATATCATCACTTTAATCAAGATTTTCCAAAAGTAAGATGTTGGTGTTGGAGATAAGCAAACTTAAAATGTAGCAATTTTGAAATATATAATAGAACTACACTCTCTACTCTCTCAAGAGAGAAAGTAGTCATAGCTGGCTATTTAAAATGTTGTGCTGTTTCTCAGCTATAAGCCCTAGATTATGTCAGGAATTAACAGAATGCCTAGTTTTGGTGAGCAATACAGAAATTTGCCAGATTGCTCAGCTTCCTTCTTACCAGTGATTTCAACTGATACCTCTGAAGCAGTTGGGGATATCCTCAGGTTCTCTCTTCATCTCTAAGACTGGAAGGGATGAGGCAAGCCCTTTCTAAGGGGAGGAAAATAGGTACCTCCTCTGTTAAAAAACTGGGGGAAGGAACAAAGATTTGCCAAGCATGGAGTATCTGTCAAGTGCTAAGAAACCTTGACCTGCAAATGGAGAAGTATCAACACATGCTCCTATAGATGACAGTGTTACATTTGTCAGTCTCTACAACCTGTTTTCAAGAAGTAGCCTGCACCATTCCGTTTCACACATATAGAATTTAAATAATTTAAAGTTATGAAGTTAAAGATATATCTATAGGACACAAAACCACACACACACACACACACACACACACACCACCCCTACATTTCAAACAAGGAACCAAACATTTGTATTCAATTCAATTGTATACAATGTGAAAGATGTGGTTTATTTTTTATTTTTTTATAGTTTTCTTATGTAAGATGTGCACTCAAGGTGTCATTTAATTTCATTGTACAAGGTGCAATGACAATAAAGTAACCTATACTAACTATACATTGAGTACTCATTAATGTCAAAGGTTTTCCTAAAATAAATACAGATTGGATGACTTAGAGGTACTCTTTAGACAAGAATTAAGTAAAAAGACAATAAAGTTTAAAGTTATTTTATATAGAGAGGAAGAGGATCCTTTTTGGCCCCCTCTCTCTTGTGCTTTTTTCTGGTCACTTTGGGAGTCACCTCTATAGTCTATGGCTAACATGGCAATTAACTTTAGGTCTGGGGTTGGCACAATGCATCAAATAGATTCTGAACTCAAGTTCTCTACTTTCTTTTGGGCCCTCTTAATAACAAAGATTACTGCAAATATTTCGCAGCAGAAGTGAAGCTTATTAGCTGATGCATTTTTCTATGATCCTTTCTCCTCTTCTAATTCCACTTTTCTAGCTATCCCATGTCTTGTTTTCCATCATTGTTTTTCTTATTTTTCCTTCTCCATCTACTTTCCCATGAGCTTCTTGTGCCTATTTCATCCACTTTTGACTTCTTGAGTCCACTGAATAAGCTCTCCTTATCAATCCTCATAGCTTTTTCAATCCAGCAATAGGGATGCTCTTGCTGAGGTGAAAGCTTCACCTCACAAGCCAGTGTGCAGATGCAATTAGTGGTGTCATTCAGTCTAATACTCTTTTCCATTAGGACAGGGCAATAATTTCTAGTGGAGTTCATTCCCTGAGAATCAGATTTCTTTAAAAAGCAGATAGAGCAGAATATTTTTGAATAAAATTGCCAAAGCTGATTAAGACAATGAATCATATTGTGTTTACAGTCTTATTATCTCAAATATGGTCCACTTCATAAATAACTGATATTTATGCATATTGTTTTTCCTTATTTTCCACAGCTTGGAATCCTACACTGGAAATATATGGGTACTCAGGCTCAGGTTATTGATCAGAGAGTTGGCCCGTTATCAAACACTTTATTACAATCAGATATGAAAATGAGATTGATTTCAGTTTATTATGTAGCCAAAAAACTGCCTGCAGTGGGTGCTGTATTGAAGCAACGATGTTGATTTTAACAATACCTCTATTGTTAGTATCAATATTATCTGTGAAATATTATCTTTGAAATAGTTCAAGAATTTAAAACTTTCCAAACAAGAGCTTCCAAAGTTTAAAGGGACACCTTCTGAATGCTCTATTTTAAGGGTCCATATAATGAACATGTAGACATTTTTTTTCCTGAAAATGCAGGCATGCATTTTATGTCCTATTTTAATCACTGGAAAAAAGCCCAACCAGCAGAAAATCAAACTAATTATCTGATCTACTTTCTTGTCTGTAAAGCTTCTGATAACAATATTTATTTTCTTTAGATTTAGGCTCCTAGTAGAAGACTAGTAGGGTTTTATACATTTGAACATTTTTAAACACACAGTTTGAGAACAGATGATGGTTCATACTTTAACACTCCAAAACATCACCAAATCCTCCAAAATGTTTCTAAATCTCTAATTTTCATTCTCTACCTAACATTAGATTCGGAAAATAAAGGCTGCATGTTTTGTTCTTTCTATGGTCTGATCTCTGCATTAACACATTCCATAACTGGGAGGAGGGAGGGAAGCTAAGCCATGATTCCCAAATGTCTTCGTCTGTTCCAGAAGAGTGCATTTATTGAGAACAATCTCCATAACAAAAGATATCTGGCTATTCTGCATGGACCTTTGAAAGGATTCCAACAGTCCTACCAGTTCTATTGAACCCTGTCCAAATGTATATTTTATCATCAGGAATTACAGAGTTGGAAGGGATCCCAAAAGGATTCCTAGCCAATCCCAATCCCTTAACAATATATTTCATTATACTGTAATCTATGTTCTGGAAAACAGCCTTCATTAATCTTTCTTTTGTTCCACAGATATGCCAAAATTCAAGTGTTTTCATCTTCCCACAAAATGCAAAATATACTGGATTACATTTGTGTAGGATATCCTGTAGAGTTGTAATTGCAGGAATGTTCCAATCTCGGATGGCAAACCTCAGATAAAGAATGTTTCCAAGCAAATACAACTCAGGCAATCAAAGTCACTAATCTAAAGGAGGATTAGAGAAAGGAAGTAAACATATGTTAGACTTTAACTAGAGATAATTAATTGTGTTAATTACTATGCTAAACAGTAACAAAAGTTAAGCAGTAACCAAAGTTAACCAATGATGGAGGATAATTAAAAATGTGTATAAATGCAAGGCTAGACTCCAATAAAGATCATCATGGTTCAGTTGTTCATGATCAAACAACTCGACTGCCTCGTCATTACAACAATATCCTATTAAAACAACATTTTTGCCACAAAATCTACCACTTTAAGCATTGTTAAACACAAAGCTACTAGCATCGGCTCATGCCAAAAGTAATTGAATAGGACTTCCAATGACTGCCATCCTAACAAAACACAAGTTTCTATTTCAACCCACAGTTTGTTTTAACAAGAAAAAAATTCCCAATTCAGCAGTAACTTTAATATTCTTTTTTTATATATTTTCCAGATACTGTAACAATGATAAGTCCAATAAATGAAGCTTCATCAAGCACATGAAGTTAATGACAATATCTGTCAGTATTTTAGTATTTTTTATTATCTATCCAGTCTGCGAGGATTAACATTTTACCGAATGCCAAAATGAAAACTTTATTTGCAAGTTGTCAATCCAGATCTACATTCTTTTTGCTTTTCCTATTTGAACAGTATGAGACCTATCCATTTAAATCATTTTTAATAGTAAGCAGCCAAATTTATGGGCTTTTTCATGTAGGATACCATTGATGCCCAAACTATGCCATTTTTCATTGGAATGAGGGAGGGGAAGAGCACTCAAGAACAATACAATTCTGTTGTTCTATTCAAGAACAATACAATTAAAAATAAAACTCACATTATAACCTATGACCAATGATTATTGCACTACACAAACACCTAATGCAAATATCCAAGCCAATATTAACATTTAACCCTTCTAATATTAATATGAACATTTTAGAAACTTTAAATATAACTTATAATAGTATACATTATAAACATGACAATAGAATGCCAATTCCCATTACTGGGAAATGTAGATTTTTTTTTTTTATCATGGTGGGACCCAGATGAAGTGACTGATAAGGCTTATTATTATGTTTATCATTATTGGTGATCTGATTAAAACATCTTTTCACATATTCCAAGCAGTCTACCAGCTTTCTAGAACTTTGACTGGATACATATCAAGATTTGAAATCTTCAAAATATTCTGCAAACTTATGCAATTTTTACTGAAAAACTACTTAACAGTAGCCAGTCAAATGCTAACGTTACAAGTCAAATACTATTAACTTCTACAAAACATTAGCAGAATTACATGTCAGTCAGACGTTCCATCTGATGCCTTGCAGTGGTTGTATCTATTTAAAACAACTGTTTACCCTAAAAAAATCTATGACACTTAAAAATGTTCCTTTATGAATTAAAACTGAGTAACTCATATTCTTGATCTTTGCAAATGAATTCCTAGGAAATTTGAGAAGGTTTTGATGCAAAGCAGATAATCTAAAATGAACAATTTATAGCTCTGAAATGCAAAAATTTTGCCTTGGTGAAATCCCTCCTGCAGCTCTAATCCAAAAATTAAAGGTAAATCATCAATATAAATTTATTACAAAGGAATTGCTTCATATAATTACCTATATAGTGTTACCTTTGATGTTGAAAACTAAGTAGATAAAAAAAATTGAAGAACCAAGTTTGCAAAGGCTGTTTGAGTTTTCCATATATATTTCAGTGGCTGCCACAAAGAGGAGGGGGTCAACTTATTTTCCAAAGCACCAGAGGGAAGGACAAGAAACAATGAATGGAAACTAATCAAGGCGAGAAGCAACCTGGAATTAAGGAGAAACTTCCTAACAATGAGGACAATTAACCAGTGGAACAGCTTGCCTTCAGAAGTTGTGGGTTCTTCATCACTGGAGGTTTTTAAGAAGAGACTGGAGAATCACTTGTCTGAAATAATATCGGGACTCTTGCTTGAGCAGGGAATTGGGCTATTCTGATTGGTTTATCATATAGTGATGTTGTTGGATCAGAGGTGGTATTCAGCAGGTTCTGACCAGTTCTGGAGAACCGGTAGTGGAAATTTTGAGTAGTTCAGAGAACCGGCAAATACCACCTCTGACAGGAGATTTTAGAGTATCCTTCCCCTGACACGCCCACCAAGCCACGCCCACAGAACCGGTAGTAAAAATATTTGAATCCCATCACTGTGTTGGATGATATATTTAAAGTCTGCTTTGATTTTCTGAAATAGTTGTTCATATTGCTAACATGAACGTAACCAAAGATTTGCTCACGTCAAATCTATATCCCCATTCCTTTTTGTGCTTTTCAGAAAAATTTATTTTTAAATAGGCATAATTATTAAAGAAAGAGCCTGCCCTTTATTACACATAATACAAAGGTTGTATTTTCAGCGTAACTATTTCAAAAAGGACTTCCTATCTACTTCATTCAATAGATTTATAGTTTTTGAATCTGTTTTCTTGTAGTTACCGTTTATTGTAGCTTATTCCTAAGTTATTCAATTGAGATGTGTTGTAGTATAACTGATTTTTCCCCAAAAGTTAAAGAGTAGGATGTTGCAGGAAGTTGGTTTATGAAATTATTTAAGATTGGAATATATAGTATCCTGGTACAGTATTGTTGGTTTTATTTTTTTATTTTTTTTGGTAAAAGCTGTCTTGAGCCTGAGACATTTTATTCGCAGGCAATCATGCCTTTCACAATTCCATGAACAGAAGATGAGCACTGATGGTCTGATGTAAAGGGAAGTAAACAGTATCCTTAACTTTTCCATATCTCATTTTTGTCCTTCCTCTGTCAACTGCCTCTGTCAACTGTGACTACTGCTTGATTCCATCCAATATTAAGATCAACTTGACTTGAACTCTGAAGAGGCTATATATAATTACTGTAATTACATAAAATATACTCTTGATGCAATATACCATAACTATCTATGCTGTATTTAAACAATAGGGAACTAGAATGCTTTTGATATCTGGCAAAATGTCAATGATAGGGATGGCTACAATAAAGGCTGGGCTATCTAAGAGTGGTTTTAGATAATCAAGAGTTTCACTAACTCAGTAGCAAAGGTCAGCAGGAGAGATGAAAACCTCCTATCCCAAATTTGCTTGATACACATATAAGTTACCTTAGAAAGCCTCACAATCTTCTAAGGTTTCATTTTTCTGGTTCCATTTGACCATGATATCTTGAACAAAGAACAACTCTCTAGCCAGGGAACTGGCTTGAGTTAACAAGAGCCCCATAGATCCCATCTACCCTAAGAGATGTGGTTTATTTGAGTAAAAGAATCCTTAAGAGAAAGTGCTGGTTTCTCCCCCCCACCCCCACACCTATAGAATAAAGGAAACCAAACACTCTCTCCCTCACCACTAACCCCATGCAATTTAGACATTTAAGACTAAAAAAACATGAATTCAAACAATTCCATGCAGAAATTGGATTTCCCTCCCACACATACAGCAATGATCTTCTTTCAGTTAAATAGCCAATGCCCAGTACTTAGTCATTAACTTTAAGGAAGAAAAACATTTCTTAATTTCTTAATAAATAAACCTCTAGAATAACCAGATGAAACAGAGTTCCAGTGAATTAAAAATAGTTCAGGTGGAATTCTGGCTTTAATTTCATGTTATGACATTCTGGATTCTATGGCATTCTATCAATCTCTAAGAATCAGTAATTGGATACTCGTGATATCTCATTTTACAATCCAGATTTGGTTTATAGTTTTGAGAATTCACTATTACTGTGGAAAGCCTATAATTTGTAATAGAGCTGTGCAAACACATCCCTTTGAAATTATCCATTCTCTTTCTGGGTACAGAAACTGAGGAATCCTTTCACAGAATTTCTTCAATTAAAGAAGAAAATTCTCACCAATCTTCCAAATATGTGGATCACCGTATTAGTAAGATATTTTGGTTTCTAAAAGAGCCCTATAACAAAGTTTTGGCAATTTAGTCACCATTTTGTATCCTCCGCAATTTTTAAAGTTTGTTTGGTTGATACCGTGAGAGGATATGGCAACTTTTAATGAAGAATGGAGATGAATATATTCAGATAGGGCTGCTTTCTTTGGTGGACTGGGTGGGAAAAATGTAAGAAAAAAATAATCTGGGAAATTTTCTCAGAAAAAAACTCCTTTGAAAAATAAAGCGTCACTATTTTTACTCAAAAGCAGTTTGAAGATAATCTGCTACTATTTCTGCCAGCTTCAAAATACTGAGACCAAGAATCAAGGATTTCACATAATCACTGTCTTTCTCCAAGTTTCCAAGAAGTCTTGGATCACATCATGTGATGTATTGTGAATTTTTTTTCCTTTGCTGAGCCAGGGTGGGCATGGCCTGCGTGTGACACATCAGGTCTGTGGGCCGCCAGTTTGACACCTCGAGCAAAAACTGTTATGGTCAGGAGCTGGGAGGTGAGGTGAAGAAAGAGATATGCAAATGGATAAACAGATTACCCACAAGCTCCACAGAGTAACAACATTTTCAAACGGGATAGTTTTAGATACACCACAACTGAGCTTTAAATATACCACAACTGAACCCAGGCAGCTTTTGAAAACATCTGGCAATGGGAAATTGCAAAGCTTGAGAGTAGTATTGAGCTCTCATTAAGACAGCCCTTTGGCTCAGCCCCAAATCCTGTTACTTCAGTATTGCTGCAGAAAAAGCTATTTCAATTATGGATTAATTACAAAGCAAGACTTCTTGATAGTTAAATATAATCACATAGACAGAAATATACCATTTTTAGTTATCATTTTGAATGTGATATATTTCCTTCTAAGCTTCTTTCAGCTATCTGATAGCAGACTAATGGATTCACAGGTGCTAATTCCTAATTCACCATTACAGATTACCACAGATTTTTTCCCCTATACAATTGTGTGAGATTGAAGATATTACAGTGTGAAAAACATTAGTTGAGTGTACAACCGGATGTACATTTAAATGGGTGCAGATTATGCATACATGCTCATTATTCAGCTTCCTCATTGGCTAGAATCACCAGGTGACCACAGTATTTTTAAAAATGGTACCCAAATAGTACAAGAAGAAACAGTGAAAAACATTGGTAATGTTTTGAGGTTGCTTTTAAAAATGCTCAGTTTTTAAAATGCTCTAGTGCAGAACTGTCAAACTCGTGGGGTGTGGGTCGGATGTGTCATGCACTGGCCACACCCATGCCCAGTTAACAAAGGGAAAAAGGCATGATACATCACATGACAATGCCATGATGACGCAAGTTTGACATCCCTGCTCTAGCATAATGTAATTCTAATGGATTTTTTTCTTTGTTTCTAGCTAGGAAATGTTTAACTCGCCCATATAAATACAACCTGTTTCAAATATATTTTTGATAGTTGGTTATGTGCTATGTGTATTGAAAAAGTGCTAAATCTTAGGCAAACATGAGGTCTAAAATATTTCTACTGGTCCTCTATAAAGGAAAAATATACTGTATTAGTTGGTTGTAATTTTCACTTTGTTTCATTGTAATTGGCCTACATTTTTCTTGTGGTATAATACTATAGACTCTTTTTCAAGTTCTTATTCTCCTTGTTCTCCTGCTTTGTAAAGTAGGTGTGTTCATTGGTTTGTCATGGCTCCTAATACAAACATAAAGAATAGGCACAATACATTTAAAACTTAATTGTGTGCAGTGGGTAATTAAAGGCATATTGTTGGACTGTATGCTTTTCAAACAGAAGTTTTACATAAGAACCCTCATGAAACTTTTGATCTATTGAAGACATCATCCATAATAGGACTAGTGCAGTGTTGGCGAACCTTTTCGGCACTGAGTGCCAAAACAGGAGTGGGCATGCGTGTGGGGGAACATCGGAAACTGAAAGAGCAGCTCCCCAGTGCGCACGCACAGGAGCACCAGAAACTGGAAGAACAGCATAATGCATGCCAGGAAACTACTCTTCCAATTTCCGGCTCTCCTGTGCACACAAAGAAAAGCTGGCTGGCGTGCATGTGTGCGCCAGAACCCAGAAGAGCAACGGGCGATGGCTGGTGTGCCCAGAGAGATGGCTCTGCATGCCACTTCTGGCACACGTGCCATAGGTTTTCCATCACGGAACTAGTGGCATCAATTGGAATCTGGTAAGTTTTTATTGGAAACAAACAAAAAAGCAGATTGTAAGAGCATCAATACTTTTTAAAATATTGTCAATTCTCTCTTACTTCTGTTTAACAATCATAAGAATGAGTAAGCTTTTGGGAGTCAGAGCCTGCAAATTTATCATTTTGGATTAAAATTGTTTGGAGTACAGAAAGGATGTAAGGGACCACATGGATGCATCAAGCTTCTTGATTTCATACCAGGTGCAGCAATACTTATTGGCATTTCATTTAGTCAATCTTGCATTCAACAACTTCATTACATCATAAGCTTTACCAGAAAAGAAGGACTAGGGGAGACATGATAGCAGTGTTACAATATCTCAGTGGCTACCACAAAGAAGACGGAGTCAAGCTATTCTCCAAAGCTCCTGATCTATAATTCTATGATTCTTTGGTAGGGCAGGACAAGAAGTAATGGGTGGAAACTAATCAAGGAAAGAAGCAACTTAGAACTAAGGAGAAATTTCCTGACAGTTAGAACAATTAATCACTGGAACAACTTGCTTCTAGAAGTTGCGAGTGCTCCAACACTGGAAGTTTTTAAAAAGATGATAGATAACCATTTGTCTGAAGTGGTGTAGAGTTTCCTGCCTAGGCAGGAGGTTGGACTAGAAGACCTCCAAGGTCCCTTCCAACTCTGTTTATTCTATTCTATTCTATTCTATTCTATTCTATTCTATTCTATTCTATTCTATTCTATTCTATTCTATTCTATTCTATTATACAGCTAGGTAAATATTTACTGAAAGGGTTAAGCTTACAACAAGAGAATTCCAGTAAATATTTTCAAACAAGCAGCCTATTTATAGACAATATATAATTGCCAAACTTCATTTGTCCATTTTACTCATGTTCTTACGCTGTTTTTTACCTCACCAGCTTTAGCCTTACCTAACCTTGCAAAATCAGTCAAAATAGTTTGGCTGAATTTCAGTTGTGCAATTTGGAACCCTCTTGTGGTTATATAATGGGGGCTGGGAAGATCATTCATATTCTTTATATTCATAATTCTTTTCCATGGGCATCTTTCATTCTCTCAGCTTACATGTGAGGTGATACTAAAGAAAAAAAATAAAATAAAGGGAAGGAAGATTGCATATTTTCTTAAATTCATCACATGTTCCATTCCACTGAACTCAACAACTCTTTGCCATTCCAAAAGGCACATTTTGTTTGCTCTTATTTGCATACTAAGTCTTTATGATTAGTAATTTGGCTCTTATGCAACTTTATAGGTCTCTGTTTATTAAATTCAGAACATATTTGTCTTCATGGATCATTGAGGTTCAAAGAACAGAAAGTGTAATAGTTGAGACAGAACAGAACAAATCCTACTTCAAATTACATTTCTTCCGTGGAATTATCAAACTACTTCCAACGTAATGAATCTTGTCACAATCCTGTCTCATATGAAAATTTTAAATCATCAAAGAAAATAAAACATGCAAACATTTAAGATAATTTAATTTTTCTAAATCCACAAAATGTGGATTTTGATATCATGAAATGATTAGTAACTAGCCAATACTGACTGATCAGGAAAAAGTAAGTATGCCAGACCTGATTTGTCCTTAATGGAAGAATGCCAAGAAATTCCAGGACTGTTGGGTATATATAATATATGTGCATGGTATATACTTTGAATTAGAAAGTTAAAAATATGTCAGAAAATGGCTATGGAAAACCACTTGGTTTTTAAAAATTATTGTTATTGTTTTGCCATGAACATTATGTAGATATATCTACGAAGCCATTAGGAATTAAATTTGACATAGAGGAGACATTGAATGCATTTCCTATATGTAAATTGAACATACTCTGAACTCTACAATTAATGCTATCTTCAGCTAATGTTTGGACAAAAAAAGTCTTACTAGATTAAATAGATTCCAGATATTTTATTCTGAACTGCAGCGAACAACACAATAACAAGTCCATAGATAATGTTTATTTAACAAACTGGGCTATTAAAGCATCTTCTCACAATTCTCTTGGATGAGTGTTGACAAAAAAACTGATTATTTGCTTTTGATGAAAGAACCAAGACTAACATTATTAGTAATGCATTTTTAAAAAGATTAATAATAACTTTGTTAAGTATGCTGATCAAGGATGCTAACATACAGATGTTTACCCAGCTGTATTTCTTTTATATCTCTCTGAAGCTAATAACAGATATATGCTACTATCTCAGAGCAATGATTTGACTGGTAGAATTCTTTATCTATTGGTGATGTATTCTTCAAAAAGCAGATACTGAACTACAGTTGTCCACTAGAGCCAAATTATACCTTTGTCCCTTAAAACTAAAGCAGGAGGTCAAGAAAGAAGTGGAGATCAGTATAGAAAAAAAGTGATCATAGTCCTAATAATCCATAGTCCTTATTCTAAAGTACTATTTCACATTGGAAGGAAGATAAAATGTTAAGTTCAAACTAAGTAGCAATAAAGTGTAACATTGGCTGTTTTTGAAAAAAAGTTTTAAAAAAATGCTTGGGTGGTAGATTACTGGGGAAATCCCAACAATGTAAGCTTTACTGGGAACCTAATAACACCCCAGGATGACATTTTTATAATGCTAAATTCTGAGTGTTCATTTATGCGATTATTTTATAAAATTAATTTTGGTCACCTTTCATATTTACAGCATGAGTGTACTTTTTGAATGCACAACAGCTCTCTGCAGTTTAATATTCTTCCCATTGCAAGACTAGAAAGTCCACTATTTTCAACCATTAGAGCTATTCAACATGCCAACCTATTCTCTCTCTATGATTTGTACTACCCTTTCAGGATGTATGCTGGACAGAATATTTTTTTATTCTTCCATCCTAAATGTTGCCTTACTAAATTAGAAGCAAATGATAAGCAATCTTCTTATCTACATAGTTTTAAATTTTATTTTATATTCAATTAGAAATAATTTAAGAGTAATATTGCACATCAATGGGAATAAATCAGTCTGTGAATTAGCCTTAGGTGAAATTGTCATGGGCCAGAAACTGACGCCATCTGCTTATCTTATCTGTTCCTTGTAATCTTTGATGGCAAATTTAGTCAATATGACTAATCAAAGCACTGTCTTCATTGTAAGAACCTACATTTCTCTGAATTATTTCAACACATTTCCATTGTGACTAGTTATATATCCATGTGAGATTATAGCAATAGCAATAGGTTACATAGAGTGCTTTAGAGCCCTCTCTAAGTGGTTTACAACATTCTAACCACTGTACCATGGCGGCTCTTATTAAGATACTTACAATAATCTGTGATCATTTGTCTGAGATCATAAGAAAATGCAAACAAGTAGCAAAAAGGAAAACAGCAGCCTGAAAAACAGTAAAATAAATGTGCTTGAGAAATAAATGTGTTTGGGTAGCTGTAATCGCTGTTTTTGTCAGAGGACATTTTGATTCTTACATTGTCATAAATGTTTTACATGCATTCTGACAAATCAAAATGAATATGTGGTCCTCAAATCTAAGCACATTGCCTCAGAATTAAGTTACAGAAGTAAAAACATCATGATAACATAGAACAGACAATTTTACCTCTTTTTCCTTTTAAAAAGCACTGCATATATTATGTTTTAATTTCTTCCTTATCTCTCCTTTTCAGTGAGATAATTTGGTTGCCTTCCTAGGTTAACATTTTTTCATACAATAATTAAAATATCATATTTCACAGGGGGTGGTTGTGGAGAGGGGTTGTTTTTGGTGTATAGTTTTGCAGCTCAACCATGGTTGTACCCAGATATACACATATAATTAGACATCCTGCTCATTTATCTGCCTGAGACTTCTAAAATTTACTGTTTCTACATTGGAATAGTTTTATAAGATAGAACTACAAGAGCAAAGGCAGATGCATTTTGTATTTCATAGGAAGCTAGGTATGGATAATTGAGATATGAAATTATTTATTTATTCAATTTTAGCACACAGGCCAATCTAGAGTAACTATAGAGTATGGCATTATTGGAAGATAGTATAAACTATTTCTGAAAAATCAGATTAAAATTTATAATGCAAACATTGATAGGATTTTGGTGGCATTGGGAGGCAGGTTTGTCTGGGGAGATAAAAGAACAGCAAAGGGAAACACCCTTGAAGAGACTATTACAACACTGGATGTTATCTCAAAAGGTGAGCAAAACATTGAATCTGATGATCTCTCCCATGAGAATTTGCAAAGCAGAAGTAAACACATGTTTCTATTTCAGTTCCTATTAATAATGCCTTTCAACTTGATAAACTGACATGGATTCATTTACAAATTAATTTATGACAAAAAGTTGAACATGTAAATAATATCCACATAAATAAATTGAAAAATTCTATACATTTTTAAATACCAACAAGAGTTGGTGTCAGCTTCCAGCTGGGCGCTGCGTTGATGCGGAGCTGCGGAGCGGATCGCCGCTCTGAAAGGCTCTGATTTTCACTGTTTGGTGGCTTCCAGGAGCGTGTTAGACCTCGGAGGGTAGACAGACGAAAGGGGAAGACCTGGAGATCTCGGGGAGGTGCCGCAATCCTGGAGATTACAAGAGAATCCCCTGAAAACCAGCAGCAGAAGAGGGAGATCGTAAAGATCGGAACCATAGACATGGCAGCCCAGCAGCTTAAAGAAGAAGGAAGGAAGCAAAGAGTGGAAAACAGCAAATTGAGTAGTGGAAAGGTGAACTTAAAGAAGATTTCCAGAATACTGATTTATACTACAAAGGGAAATTGAAAATTGAAACTCCAAACTGAACAGTGCAGTGAAGCGGCAGAAATATCGGAAGGAGTACTAACTAAAGAAACGGCAGTAATTTGTGCTGATTAATGGAGCACTGAAAACGGAGGAGCTAAAGGGTGAAACAACACCGTTTACTTTTACTTTGGGAGCTGAAAAGAGGGTTGTATAACTATATTTTTTGGCGATTGACGTTTGAGAATTGTGGGAAGAAAGAGAAAGTGACAGTGACGTGTCCAAGTGAGACAGAGAGATCGGAAGAACAGCTGAGAGTAAAAACTTGAAAAGAGAACAATTGACACTTTAAAAGATTTAAGGAAAGGATTGAGGAAAGAAACCTTATAATTGCAATATTTGTCTGATAACTGTGATAAAGAAAAAAGGAAGAAATAAGATAACTAAGATTTATAAGTGGAACTAGGACTGTGTGGAGAAAAAGAATAAAGGAGCAAGAAGAAGAAGAAGCCAAAATAGAAAGGAGAAACGAAATGGTGGAAGTGACTGTGCAAATTTAAAGAGGACATTTTGAACTCGAACTAAGAACTGTAATACGGTATTTATCAAAGAAGGAGGAGGAGGAGGAGGAGGAGGAGGAGGAGGAGGAAAAGATCCATGGACATCATTCAACTGGTCAATCATAGATGTAACTAAATAATATTGGTAAAACATAATCTTAATAGATATATATGTGTTAGAATATTGAGTTAAGAATACCGGTTAATAATTTTTGAATAACTGGACAATTGAAAGTGTGTTGTATAAATATAGAACCCAGACCTTCAAATAATAATCATACAGTAAGAAATTGAGATATTTTTATTCTGAGGTAAGCATATAACTAAGAACTCCAAAGAAATAGATTAATTGATATTTATATATAGATAAGAATTTAATTACTTTAATTAATTGGCTGCTTTAAATTAATTAGTTAAGCATATAATACTGTTGATTTTGTGAGTAAATATATTTGTATTTGATTAATATTGAATTATCTTAAGTATTGTAATAGTTGAATAAGTTCAATAAGAAAAAATAGAAATAAGAGCTGATTGTGATTTTCCATAACAGAATTTTGGTAATTAATAATATAATAATATATGTATTTGTTGTGGCTCTGATTCCCGAGACTGTGCTGTTAGAGGAAGAGGACTCGGAAGATGAGGAGGAGGAATTGGGAATGCCTTCCTCCCCAGGACCTTCCTCTCTGGCAATGCCTTCCTCCCTGATAATACCTCAGGTTTCAGCAGACAACCAAGAGGAACAACCTGAGATTAATCAGGAGGAGGAGGGCATATCGGAGCAGCCCCTGCCGGAGTCAAGTGGATGAATGTTGGCTTGATCCTAGGCAGCGTCGTAGGAAGAAATGTGAGCTGCAACGTAGGAGGCATGGGAGGGTCAGAGAGTGAGCTGAGTCATTGAGACATACCCTACAGGGGATAAAAGTGGGTGTGTTTTCTCCGGAAACTTTGTATGGGACAAAGTTTGCTTCTCTTCCAGGTTTCGTTGTGATTGTCTTTTGTGATCTGCTTTGGAATCTTCAGTGAGTAGTTTTTTCTTGTTATCATTTCGGACTTGGCAGGCAGAGTGTGTTGGAATGCCAAGGACATTATCAGCATAAAAGATTAACTCTGTAAAGACCGAGTCTCCTTGCCTGCCGTGTTTGTTTGAGTTTGGACTCTTTCATCTTTTTTGGAAAGAAGAAAGGTGAGACATAACATGTATTAATATTATTATTGAACTGAAAAGGAGAGGAAAATAGTGCTCTACTATTAGTTGATGGTAGATTGGAAAGAGCTGCTACAGATAGTTAAAATGGTGACATCAATTACAAATGTAAAATCAGGAAAGAAAACTACAACAACGATGTCTTCACCTATGGGGCAGAGATCTATAGATGCAATGCTACTGGCAGAAAAAAATAGTTCAGCTCAAAGTCTGCAGACAGTACAGGCAACGCTCACTATGATACAGGAAATGATGGTAAAAACCCACAAATTTATAGGAACCATGAAGATATGAAAACAGAGATGAGAACTGAAATAGGACAAGTGAAAAATGAAATACAAAATTTGAATAGTAAGATTGGAAAGATGCAGGAAAAAGTGATAAAAAATGAACAGAAATTAATTTTAGTAGAGGCAAGAACGGAGATGGTGGAGAAGAAATTAGAGGATTCAGAACAAAATTGAAAAGAGCTCTACTGCGAACTCTGGAATTCGATGGTACACATGGAATTAGAGAAGGCATCATTTCATCTTAGGTTCCAAAATGTGGTGGAAGACAAAAAGGAAGATTTACATGCAATTATGACGAATCTGATAGCGGCGGCTTTACAGAAACCCAAACTGGAAATTGAAAATGATGTAGATGAGGTCTACAGAGTATATACACACTATGCGAGGAGACATAGACTACCCCGAGAGGTTCATATTCGATTTGCGAGGAAGATAACACGAGACCTGCTCTATAGTAAGACCAGAGATGAACCACTTGTATACAAAGATCATGAAGTGGTTACACTGAAACAAAGACCTAGGAGAGTCAGAGAGCAGAGAAGGGGCTACCAATTTTTATCAACTCAGCTTATTAGAAATGGTATTCCATTTAGGTGGCTCACCCCAGAGGGGCTTTTAGTTTCGTGGCAGGACAAAAAATACAAAATTGATACAATTGAAAAAGCACAGGAATTTCGTGAACAATACCTAGGACCCAAGGAAGAACAAGAAAGTAGAGACGACCTAAATACAAGAAGCCAAGAGGAACAACTCTCTGGAGAAAAAGAATCTGATTCACTCTCTGAACACCAAAATCTTAGAGAAGAAGGGGAAGGCAACAGACTAAGAAAAAAAGAGCCTAGAACAAGAAATGAAAAGAGAAATGCCTCACATAGTCAGTGACACTGATAGAGAAATCACTTTATTTTCAATCAATATCAATGGTTTAAATCAATCATCAAAAAGAAAATAGATATTTGAGAAACTTAAAAAACAAAACGCTGACATAACTTGTATCCAAGAAGTGCATATTCCAGACAATCAAGCAGACCTCTTAAAGAATATAAATTTGGGTAAAATGTACTCGGCACTTGCAAACAAAAAAAAGGGGGTATTGTAGTATACGTAAAGGATTGGTTGCAACATAAACAAATATACAAAGATCAAGAAGGGAGAATGCTTTTTATAGAAATAAATGTAAATCAGAAAAAGATGTTATTCGTCCCAATATATGCCCCGAATACAAACCAAAAAGACTTTTATAATAGGCTTCACCATAAGATAATAGAATTTGAGTATGCTAATGTATGCATAGCAGCAGACTATAATGCAGTCCCAGACAAAGATAAAGATTATAGAACTTCAAAAAAAAAAAAAAAAAAAGGAAAGGAGAATACTCTCTTCATCTTTTAATAATATGGGAAGAGAACTTAACTTGAAAGATGTGTGGAGAGAATTAAATCCAAATAAAAAACAATATACCTTTTTTTCGAGCCCCCACCACTCTTGGTCCAGAATAGATCAGATATGGATGGACCCTGAGTTAATGGAGAATATTGATAGGATCGAGATTTTGCCAAATCTATGGGCTGACCATAATC